GTCTGTAAACAAGACAGTCAGTGGTATCTGGCTGGAGTCACCTCCTTTGGACATGGATGTGGGCTGCCTCTCAGTGCGGGGGTTTATGTACGTGTTACAAAATTTGTGGAATGGATGCAAGAGATTATTAATTTTTACACTATTTAACCGTATTGAAGGTTTGTTTTAACATTCAAAGAGGTTAGTTTTCTCTGGTAGCATTTTGTTGAATGTGATCACATGTAATTCCCCATGTGCTGCATAGCCACAGCTCTTCAACATTTTGTTCGATATAGGTAAAGCAGCACACAAGAATCATCCATGCCACATAATTGCCAGACAATGACCATCTCCAACAAGAGCGAAGCTAACCATTATCCCCCTTCACATTCAACGGTATTGCCTTTGCTGAATCCACACAATCAATATTCTGGGGATTTACCATTGACCTGAAACTTAATTGGACCAATCATATGACTACTGTAGCGACAAGAGCATGTCACAAGCTAGGAATACTGCAGCAAGTAACTAAACTTTCTGACTCCTCAAAGTCTGTCCACCATCTGCAAGGCACAAGTCAGGACAGTGATGGGATACTCCCCATCAAGTGGGAATACTCCCCACTTGCCTGGATGGGTATAGATCCACCAACACTCAAGAAACTCAACAACAGTTGTCAAAATAAGTTGCTTGATTGCTGTCCCATTTACCACCTTCATCCTTTACTCCTTTCACACCACCAGTGCACACAGTGTTAACTATATGTTCCATCTACAAGATACAGGGCAACAGGTTACTAAGCCTCTTTCAACTGCACCTTTCAAACCTGCAACCTCTACCACACAGAAGAACTGGGGCAGCAGATGTTTGGAAACACCATCAGCTGGCAGTTTCCTCTGAGTCACCCACTGCCCTGATTTTTTTGTCACAGGATCAATGTCCCTAAACTCTCTCTCCAATGGCATTGTGAGTGTCCCCACACCATATGGACTACAGTGACTCAGCACTTCCTTCTCAAGGACAATTAGGAATGAGAAATAACTACTGAGCTTGCTCGATGTTCACAACCAGTAAACAAAAAATAGCACAGGAATTATATGTGAATTTGCTAAAGTACTGCATTACTAGTAGAAAACCAAATCTCTCAGTGTTGGATATGCAACAGTTATTTCTAAAGATCAGTTGAATGGAAACTCTGCTGACATTGATTGTTGTTGAATTATTCAGTATTATACTTAATGGCACATTAAAGAATCGTATTCAAACTGCTGCTTGCTGGAAATTTTTCAAAGGAAAAGATCTGTGCAGTTCAATCAAGATGCAATACTGCTGCCATGTGATGCCTTCTTCCATATTCTCTTCTTGACTTTTTAGAGCAGGCATTCACTTGGTCCCAATTCTTTCTGTAATCACAGCAAGCTTAACATTGGCAATGGTTTGTTATCCAATCTTCACACTTTTGCCTCAAGAGTCTTGCAAGGACCTACCCTTAACCACCTGTCCTTTTCTCCATCCAGATACTGTCATTTAGTAGTATCATCCAAAGAGCTGAGGTCGCTCAGCACCCTCTGTTCACTGCCCTCTCAGTCCTCCACTGCCTCTGTATTGTTGCACAGCTTGTCTGACACCTGGATCTCTAAGGAAACACTGACAAAAGCAGAGCTATTCTAGCATCAATTCCACATCTTTGCCAAGGTGTCCAGTCTTCCTCACCAGCCGCTGCCTCAAGCTCAAACAGACTATCTGTTACCTTGAGTTCACTTGAAGTCCATGACCACGTTCTTCCATATTTCTCATCTGTAGCTCAACTTCACTCTATCTGCCAGTGAAACCTTCATCCAGACTCAACCAACCCAATATTGCTATTACTAGCCTTCAATCTTCCATCTCCCTGCATTGCAACTTGCTAATCCAGACTGGTTCCCAGTTTGGCAAATTCTCTTCCTTATATTTAGATCCCTTTTGGAGCTACATGTTCTCTTTCTTTGTAATATTCCTGTTGTACAATCTTTTGCACTAGGATCTACAGTTGCCTGACTCTGGACTGTTGAGCATTCTTCTCATCCTCCAATCCACCTTCTGCAGTCAGGTCTTCAACCATCTCAGCCACATGCTCCATCTAGTAATTTGTCCCTTGTTCTCATTAGAAAACAGTGGGGGTTTTTTTCTGACAAGGACTATGGAACCTTACCTCATTGGTTCTGCATCTATTTATTAAATTTCTGTGGATCATGTTTTTCATTCTATTAAAATTGCTGTATATAACTATGAACTGTTGTTATTCTAATTTGTACTTCTTGGTATGTTAAAAGGGCCAGCTAACAGACATTCCTGAAAATAGGAATGAGGAGACCATTCAGCCCTTTAAACCTGCTCCTCTATTCAATTAGGTCCTGGATGATTTGTGGCTCAATTCCAGTCAACTACCTTGCTCCAAATATATCCCAGGCTGAAATCCATACTCGATCACAAGTTGTTAGCCTGGAAAATTCGAATTGACACAATGTTTGTATCCACAGCCTTTGGGAAACAGACTGAGAGAATTCCACAGTACTTTGCCTGAAGTAAAATCCTTCCTGACTTCACTCCTGATGGATTTGGCTCTGATTTCAAAATTATTTCCTCTTGTTTTGGATATCCCACCAGGGGAAATAATCCCACCCTCCCTCCCCTCACTGCCCTAAATAAATCCTTTTATCATTCCAAAAATTGTCCTCAATCATCAATACTCACAATAATGTACATCAGGTTAATTTAACCTATTCTTCTAATTTAACCCTTTCAGCCCTGATATAAGGCCACTAAATATGCACTGCCTAGTCTTTCTGAGGCTAACAGGCCTTTCCTGAGGTGCAATGGCCAGAACTGACCACTTCATACCAGATGGCGTCAAATTAATTATTGATATAACTGAAGCATCACTTCCTGCCTCCATTCCCAATCCCATTCCTATTCTATTCCCATCTCTTGAAGACAAAGGCCAACATACAATTCACCTTTTTGACTGGGTTCTGTCCTTGCCCATTAGATTTTCAAGATTGACATATGTGGCTGTGTGAATAATCTACTCCTCCACAGTTGCTAGACTGTCCATATTAAAGGAAAAATCTTCTGGTTCGTCTTCCTTGAATATAAAGTGGACACGTTGATACTTGCTGGTTGGAGATGATGCACAGAATAATTGTCTATACAAAAGAGAAGATTCCAACACTGAATCCTGAGTTGAGCTGAGTTGACCAATCTCAGCTGGTGAGCAGTAATATAGAGAACGCAATTGGTGTCAGTATCTATGTATCAGGAGAAGGGGAGGGATGACCCCAATGAGTGAGAAATCAGCCCAGCATCTTGCTACAAAGTGGCTGTAATGATAACATTTAACCAATGAAAAACACACAGCTTGGACTCAGCTAATAGAGCATCAGACTTAAGGGTTCTTATGGTGCAGAGGCTAGTGTGCCTATGTCTGGGTCAGGAGGTTGAGGTTCAAGCCTCATGGCCTTCAGCTGTAGCATAACATATCTGAATAGGCTGCTTAAAAAATATCTATCTGTTATTCCCTGATTTGGCACCATATGGAAATGTAGAAATTGGGCTTGTGTGGCACAGTTGTACACAGAAAGAAAAGCCAGCAAAGCTGTCAATGATACATACTGATCTGATTTGTTCTCTACATCTCAGAATAGTGCTTCAGTATGACCAATACATCACTTGCAAGTATTACTGTGTTTTTTCCTACAGTTTTTCTCCCTCTTGGTAATGTCCTGATCTCTGTGCCAGGATGCGCACATTCAGATCCCACCTGTTCCAGAGGTGTATAAATACATTTCTGAACAGGTTATAAAGTCATAGAGTCATACAGCACAGAAACAGACCCTTCAATCCAGCTCGACCATGCCAACCAGATGTTCCAATTTGACCCATATTCCTTTAAACCCTTCCTATTCATATACCCATCCAAATGCCTTTTAAGTCTTGTTATTGTACCAGCTTCCATCGCTTCCACTGGCAGCTTGTTTGACATGCGCACCACCCTCTGCATGAAAACGTTACCTCTCAGGTCCCTTTTAAATCTTTCCCCTCTCACCATAAATCTATGCCCTCTAGTTTTGGACGCACCCCCACCCTGGAAAAAAAAACCTTAGCCATTTATCCTATCCATGCCCTTCGTGATTTTATAAACCACAATAAGGTCACCCTTCAGTTTAAAGTTTTGGGAAAGTTCTGTAGCTCGGGTTGTGGGTGAGGTTGTTGACTTGCTCGCCGAGCTGGCTTGTTCTCATTCAGACGTTGCGTCACCATGCTAGGTGACATCGTCAGTGAGGCCTCCAATGAAGTGATGTTGTTCTACTCTGCTTGGAATTTACACTGTCTGGTCCATTATGGTGAGTAATGTCATTTCCGGTTTTGATTTATATGGGTTTGTATACTCACCATAACGGACCAGACAGTATAAATTCCAAGTGGAGTAGAAAAACATCATTTCATCGACGCTCCACTGATGATGTCACCGAGCATGGTGAAGAAAGATCTGAACGAGAACAAGCCAGCTCAGTGAGCAAGTCAACAATGTCACCTCCAATGCTCCAGGGAAGAAAGCCCCAGCCTAACCAACCCCTCCTTAGAACTCAAACCCTCCAGTCCCAGCAACATTCTTGCGCATATTTCCTCTCACGTTTAACAATACCTTTCCTACAGAAGGGTGACCAGAATTGTACGCGATGTTTGAAAAGTGGCCTCATTAATGTCTCGTACAGCCACAACGTGACACCCCACCTCATATATTCAATGCACTGACCATTGTAGACAAGGATGCCAAACGACTTCTTCATCACCCTGTCTTCCTGCGACTCCACTTTCAAGGGACTAGTCTTGATTTGGAAAAATAAAGTACACAGCTTACCAGAATGAATTTGTCGCTCTTTTATCAATGAACAGGAACTTACATTTCAGTAGCACTTTGCAGGAGCTTTATCAAATTAAATTTGACAGCTAGTCACACAAAGAGATGTTAGGACAGGTCAGAGACTTAAGAAGCATCTTAAAGGAAATGAGATGGGGAGAAATGTAAGGAGGGAATTGCTGAGCTATGAATAGTCATACCTGGATGCACAGTCACCAATGATAGACTAAATATCAAGGATAAGTAAGAGGATACATTTAGGAGGAGCACAGAGATCTGGTAAGGTTTCTGAGATGGAGGAGGCTAGAGATAGGCAGGCCAAGATCACAAAAGGGTTTGAAAACAAAGATGAGAATTTTTGGAGTCAAGTAGCCAGGCTGGGAGCCAATGTAGGTGATGGGTAAAAGAAACATGGTCCAAGATAGGAAATGCTTAAAAGCATTTTGGATGAGTTCAAGTTCAAGAATGGTGCAAGGTGGGAAACAGGCCAGGGGATCTGTAAAATAATTGAGTGCGGAGCCAACAAAGACAATATGGAAGAGGGTTTAAACAGGAGAATAGCTGAGGTGGAGCAGAGGCAGATGATTTTATAGAGGTGGAAGTAGGGTAACACTACTGATTAGGCTGATGGTTGACTATAGAGAGTAGAAAAAAGTCCTCAGCGTAGGTGATAAGTCAACTCTCCAGATCCAATAATTGATCACAATGCTGGTGCCAAAAATGGGGCACTGTCTATGTCAGGTATTAGATTACCATGTGATTTAAATGAGGTTGGCATGGTTGACAATCTTAGCACATGCTAATCATGGCATCGTTCAAACCAAAACTGGCCCAATTTACCATCATTGCCAACTAGAGTGAAAACTATAAACAGTTCACTTCTTCACGCAATCCAAATAAAAAAAGTTACCATTCTCTCCCCCTCACCCCAAACTTTCTTAATATCTTCCCAGCACAAAAAAAAGTAGAATTTCAAGTAAACAAGAGCAAACATGCCAAAAATGGGAATACTCATTCTGGACAATCGGAGGGAAGCAAATGAGAGTTGATTTGTCTTTTCTCTGGAAGCCATCATATTTTGTAGAGAAGGGGAACTGCATTACCTACTTTCTGTTAGTCACTTGTGTCCAGCGTCATTGACCATAGCATCTTCACCAGAAGCTTGACATTGTAGTAATGATAACACTTCATCAATTTAAGGCCATTCACTGCTGCTCCTCAGGAGCATGTTTTCTGCCTCATTCCACACCACCCCTCCACTCTACATCCCCGAGTGAAATGAGTTTTCAAATCCCTAGGCAGTCAATTTCCTGCCAAAACCTCCAGATTAGAACCCTGACCTGTCTCTTGGTTTTGTCCGCCACTTGTAATTTGTCCAAAAGCTGTGTACTAACAGCACCCATTGCTTCCATTAACATTCCCCTCAACGACTGCATCTCTTCTGCCTTTCTCTAAAGTCCATCCGGAACACAGCAGTGAAAAGAAAAATTGACAACAGGAAAGGGGGTTTTGTTTTCTTGTTTCTGTTGATGATCTGGTTCAATAGTCCTTGGTCTCTCTCAGACCTGCCTTGTCTCTGTTTGCATTCTCTCAGAAGTCTGTAATCAGCTTGTCGGATGGTTGGTTTTGTGTGGGTGTGTTACTAACGTTGCTGCCTGACTCTTTATCCATGGGATTAAGTCCAGGCTGCAGGTTACTAAACATCAGCAAGGTTCTCCTTCTTTGGAGCTGTGGATATCCAGAGAGTCGACTCGTTTGGGCTGCTCTTCGATCGGTCTTTGCTGAGGGCAGTAAAAGAATAGAAACCATTTTTGAATAATTTTGAATAAATTCAGAGTTAGCATGTCTATTTTTTACAGTGCCTTCCAATACTAAACAGCCAAGTCTAGGATATTAGGTTGAATGTGGGTGTTGCTGGCAGATGCAACCTTTTACTGAGTTGTTCACTGAGGAATTTCAGGCAAAGACCAACCACATAGCTGTGGGATCTGAATCCTTCATTGGTCAGGCCAGGTAAGGACAGCAAACTTTATTCTTCAGAGGACAATGCTCAACAATTGGGTTTTGTGACAACTTGGTTATTGCATGATGACCACAACCAGTACCATTATGGGAATTGTACTCATGTTCCTCATTATTAGTCAAGGTCCTTAACTTACTACTCCAATGGAACAACCACTCCACTACTAATCAGCAGAAATGAAAATCATCTAACGAGTCCTGCAGAAGGCTCAAATCAGATCAAATGTCCCCCATTGTCTAAAAGAATGTGTCCCCTGGGTTCTCATACTGCTCGTTCACCTCAGGGACCCAACTGGAAAGAAACTTACTCGCTCCACCAGCTGAAAGGACTTTAATGCAAAGATTCTGAAGGCTTTCAATTCCAATCTGAAGCCCACAGCATCAACCTTATTATATCGTTTTGTCACTGAATTGGTAGCATCTCTCGAGAAAGGTTACAAGTGTGCTGCGGTGTTAAACTTCTCACTGATATAAGAGTGGCCTCTCTTCTGAAGCTGTGGCTTTCGAATCTAAAATGCTCCAGCTCATACATTCTCTTGGGGCTAAGCTCACCTTTGTGTGGTAATGTTGAAAATGAATTGTCTGTCTGATGTGCATTTATCCTGATCATTATTTACCTTGAAGTTCAAGGAGATTTATACCCCAGTCTAATATTCCTGGTGTGGGCACGCTGAGACACACACAGTATTTTGTCTGTGACCTTAAATGAAATCTTGTCTTCAGGTGCAAATGCAAGATTCAATGCCTTTTTCTTTCAGAGAGGAACAGGATAATCTTGCCCCATCAGGTGTACCAACTCCAAATGAACTGCAGTAGTCCAAGAAGACATCTCAGCCCCAAGGGTATGTAGGGTAAGGAGAGATGGGAGGGGGGTGGCATGGTGGCTCAGTGGTTAGCACTGTTGCCTCACAACACCAGGGACCTGGGTTCAATTCCAGCCTCGGGTGACTGTCTGCGTGGAGTTTGCACATTCTCCCCATGTCTGTATGGGTTTCCACCAGGTGCTCTGTTTTCCTCCCACAGTCCAAGGATGTGCAGGGTAAATGGGTTGCCTGTGTTATAGTGCCCAGGGATGTTTAGGTTAGGGGGGTTAGACATGGGAAATCAGGGGTAGGATAATGAGTCTGGGTGGGATGCTCTTCGGAGGGGCAGTGTGGACTTGTGGCCTGTTTCCACACTGTAGGGATTCTGTAAAAAAAAGTGCTAGGCCAGACAGTGATGCAGCATCCCCAAATGAATAAACAAAAATAAAGGTTGTCCCTAGTCAATAACTGTTTCATCATTAAAGAAAATTATATAGACATTCAAACAGTGTAGCTTGTGAGACTTTGCTGTGGTTCCTACATCACAACTATGGCTGCACTTATGAAGTATATCATAAAGTATTTTGGGATACTTTGAAAAGTGTAAAAATATACAGCATTTGTATTCAGCGAAAAGAACTACACCAGGTTGGAATCTGACCCACTTATGAATGGTTCGTCCAGCCACACCAGATTCAGTTTAGCTCCATTGGCAGTAGACTAATGTAATTTACTTACCTTCTGCTCAGCATCTGGATGCAGCAGGTTGCCAGGGCAACCACCAACAACAGCAGCAGTGGAATTGTGGGAATGATGACGTACACCACATTGGGCATTATCCCTGGAAAACACGAATATCGATTCAAGAAGTTCCATCAGGTCACTGAATCTGGAAGATTGCAAGCAATCTAAGCTCCTCCTTCCCCAACACCCCATACACAGCATCTACTGCTAATTGTTGGTGAGCTAAGGTTTCACAGGCAGTTCCCAGAAGATGGGTAATGTCTGGATGGGCTTTCACTCCATGGTTTAAACAAAGATCTTGATACGGCTTTGGACATTTAGGTTAACCTCTGACCTTGTCAATGTGACAATGCAGGAATACCCCTGACAGAAAGGTTTAAAGAATGTCCCAGTGGTACAGCTGGAAGGAGATAACTTGGCCCATAATCCTTACAAATAAGCACTAAATTTGTGGCAGAACTGGTCTGGCTGGTTGTATGCATTTTCCTGATATATTGAGGTACTGATATAATGTACAAAGTATTCTGTTGAATCTATGTACAGTAAGGTTAGCTATGAGGTAGCATATGGGTACGAATGTAAAACTTAGTTAAAAGATTATTTAAACGTGATTGGACTCAGGGCTGGGTTCTTGCACCAGCAAGACTCACTGGACAATCATCAGGGGTGAAAAGTTTGGAAAATGCTCTTCCATTCCTTCAGAGTGTTTGAGGAATATTAGACTCAACCAAAGCGCAGATTCTGACCACCTAATATAGAATAGACAATGGACTGAACTGTCCTGATCTTTGTGACTGAATTCCAAATTAGATGACACATTGATTACAGGAGTGTTAGGGAGTCCCAATGTGAATGTGTGATTCCTCAATTTAGCCATTCTGGAAGGTGGCTGGAGTTCAACATTGAAGGCAATTTTGTTGTATGCAGTTAAGATAAATGCTGTCAGTCACCTCCTTGCCTATAGAATAAAGATCCAAATAATAGCACATAAAGTGGTGGGGCTATGGTTCTAACTCATTATCATATACTGTAGCAGAGACATGGATTCAGAGCCATGATAACCCATTTGGGGTCAGATTCTGATGTGATGCAAACAGTTGCCCATTTTACACCTTTCTCATTTTTCATTTTAGGGTGCAGCTGTGTTGTCCATAGAGGTATGACCTGAACTGATAATTGGCTCAAATTACTGAAATGAAGCCCAATTTCATGCTGGAATTAGACATCCACTATTCTGGAACAAAGCCAAGACAATTCTTGACCCTTTTGACTTCCAAACTCACAAGTGAAAAGTTCTAATCACATACTTTGCTGAAGATAGGAATTACCTGATGATTCTGTCACAACCATATGGTGTTGGTCATCAGCGGAATTACTGGGCACGTGAACCTTGACTTCTGGACCCATGGACACGTTTTCTGAAACTGGGGTAGATGAGAATCATTCGAGCTTACTTTTCACACAACACCTTCCAGGAGGAATTCTCAAATAGATCATCTCTGAAATCAATCCCCAAGATGACACAGTGGAACTGAAATTCTGGTCGGGGTCAAAGTAGAAACTCAGTAACAAAGGAAACAATTCCCAGTTCCACCAGCATTTTACACCTATTCTTTTTATCAATTTACTTCAGGGTGTATAATGGATGGCCAGCTTGACACTTTCAGCCCATCACTAAGTGCTCTGAGAGAGGGCCAGTGGGATACCATCTCCTTGATGAAACTTAGAGTAGCTTGCTTGGTTGGGTTGTCACACATTGAAGAAGACATTGGAATTTATGAATTAGGAACAAAAGTAGGTCCCTTGACCCCTCAAGCCTGCTCTGCCATTCAATAAGATCATGATTGATGTGATTGCTCTACCTTCCCACCTATGTCTTGACAAGTTTTCACCTCCCCACCCCTCTACTTGCTTATCAATCATCTATCTATCTCTGGCTTTAAAAAAATATTCAAAGTCTCTACTTCCACTCACTTTTGAGAGGGTTCCAAAACTGCATGACTGTCTGTTTGACTAAAATTCTCCTCATTCTTGTTTTAAATAGGAAACCCCTTAATGTTAGTTCTAGATTCTCCCATAAGAGGAAGCACCCTCTTTACTCATACCTCAGTGAGACTCTTCAGGATCTTACAGATTGCAATCTAGTTGTTTCAAGCTTTTTTTGTATTTTTCATTCACAGCATGAGTAGGCCAGCGCTTATTACCCATCCCTAATTTTCCAGGCAGCAGTTCAGAGTCAGCCACATTGTTGTAGGAGTTAAGTCACATGGAGGCCAGGCCAGGGAAGGACAGCAGTTCAGTTCCCTAAATGACATTAGTGAGCCTGACGGGTTTTTCCCTCAACAATTAGTGATAATTAACTTTCAATTATAAGACTCTTAATTCCTGATTTTTTTTTTTATTTTATTGAATTCAAATTCCATAATCTGCCATGGTGGGATTCAAACCAGGTCCCCAGAACATGACCTGAGTCTCTGAATTAATAGTCTAGCAACAATAGGACTTGTCCCTCACCTCCTCCTTGCACCCATGTCCTCAGAAGGAGCACTAGCTTGGTGTTATTAGTGCATAACATTACCATTATGCCACCACCTCTTTATGTTAAACACATTGTATGGATTACTGGTGCTGTAATGATTGGAGCAACTGGGGCTGGACGCCTGGTCCAATCCGGGAGCCCTGGCTGACAAACATAACAGGAGTGTCAGAGGTTCTGCTCACTCTGAGAGCTGGCTCTGAGGAAGTCGGACCGGCGTCAAGTACTATGCACGTATAAATAAAGGATTCAGAGACAGTAGGAACTGCAGATGCTGGAGATTCTGAGATAACAAGGTGTAGAGCTGGATGAACACAGCAGGCCAAGCAGCATCAGAGGAGCAGGAAGGCTGATGTTT